ATGACTTTGAGGGCATGTGATTGATGCAGATATTGTGGCACCAGTGAACCAGGGTCGTCCCACAGCTGTGGGAGAGCTGTGCTTGTGAGCTGTGTCCTACCCGGGATGCTAACCAGCTGGGAAAACAACACACCAAAAGGGAGTCCCTTCGAGCTGTCCTGATGCTCTGGCTGTTTCTGGAAAAGGGAGGCTGAAATTTTCTCCAAACCATCAGTTGTACAGATTTTTGTCCTTATCTTTGAGCTTGTAGGCAGAGTTTGCTCCAAAACCTTTTGTAAATGCAGTGCCTTAGTGCCAGTTTGGGTGTGTGCAGGTTAAAAAGTGCAGCCCTTTCCTGTGCCCCATTTACCAGATGCTGCTTTGCCTTAACTGGGGTGTGTGTGACCATCTCAGACCAGTGTCCCAGCAGTACCACCAGGGTGATCCTCAAAAAGGTCTCCCCCCTCCTCCTCTTCCAGTGCTCCCATGCCAAGGAGAGAAGTTCTGCCCAAACACACAGACTGCTCTGAGCCAGGCAACACAAACACTTGACTGGAATTCCAGCTGCCTGGAATTGTGAAGGGATGGATTTGGTGCTTTTCTTTCTCTGTGCTTTTGCACGTGGCATGGAGTGGGAGAGGGGCAGCCTGGACACCCTGCCAGAACCACTCCCTCCTGGGGAGCTCTGGGAATTCCCACAGGAGCTCTGGGCTGCCGGTCCTGCCTGTCCCCTGGGAAGGGAGATCTGCAGGGACAAGGACAACCTCGTGCTTCCTCCCCCCATCTCACACACCTTCTCTGTGTGTGACATCACTATGAAAGACATGAAAGGCTTTTGCTTTGCCTGTTTATTTTTCCCTGAGCATCTTGAGCAAAGAAACTTCTCCCAGGAAGTTTTCCGGTGCATTTTCTGCTGGTTTTCTGCTTTGGTCATATTATTGATATTATATATATAAATGTATCTATAAATAAAACAACCAAAGAGTGGTGTCACTCTGGTTTAAAGTATGGGGTAGTTTCAGATGAACATAAAGTATTTAAAGCATTTCTCTGGTGACTGAGTCATGAATATTTGGGACAGGGAACCTATGTTCCCCATGTTGGGGATGTAGGATGGGCATTCTGTGGGTGTGGAGCCTAAAGAAGACATTTGTGTGTTTGACATTTACATTAATGAGCTTTCTTCTCTCCCCAGTCACGCTGAGCCTCTCTTACTTTTGAGAGCTGATAATTGAGTGATTTGTTTCACCTCAGCAGTGGCATTTTTGGAAACTTGGTTTCTGTGCCCCCAAAACTGTCTCTGTTCCCCCTCCCTGGTGCTTTCCTGCAGCTGCTCCACCTGCACTGCTGAGTGAGGGCTCCCTGCCTGCAAGGAGCTCCTGTGCCTGAGGAGGAGGTTCTGCAGTGGGGCACAGTCTCGGGGCTTAATTAGCCCCTTCCCAACAGCCCATCAGATCCTGCTTCAGGAACTGGCTGGTGAAGATGTCTGGATACTCCCTGATTGCTCCCACTGCTCCTCACCACCATCCCTGGGGATGAGGGAGATTTATACCCGCCTGAAAATAAATACAGATCACTCACTTGTCTCTGGAGGAAGATAAAATGGAAACTGTCTATTTTCTGTGATAAAGCTCTGGAAATAGTTGGGATTTAAGATAATTATCTTTATTGCTTTTTATAGCACCCTGTGAAGGCTGAAATCTAATTTGTTTTTCACTAACAGGGATCTCCTGCGGATGACTCAGAGAAATCCATTTGCTTTATTGACAAACTTGTCTGTTTGGTTGTCGGGGGGCAGTGTTCTCCTTGCAGGGAAAGGGAAATGAAGATCAGAACAACGGTGGGGTTTTAATGCAGATTCAAAGTCTGATATCTGTTGGCAAGAGGAAAAAAATAAGTTGATCTAATCAGAGTGAAGCGACTCTGCTTCATTAAAGAGGGCTGTAAATTAGCTGATGCTTCGGTGGGCATGCAGTGGCGGTGCTTGGTGTTTTGTTTAAGCAACTTCACTTGAAGCTTATTAACTAGAGCCTGCAGAGAAGCTGCTTTTCTTGGGCACCTGGATTTTGGGAAGGAGGTGGGAGGTGCAGTCGTGGCTCTTCCCCTGTGCCTGGGGCTGTGGGGAGGGATGAGTTTTGCATCATTTGAACCTGTTGCTTGCAAGTGGAGTTGTCCATTTTAAACTTCTCAGGCTCCCAGCTGTAACAAACTCCTGCAGATGTTGGACAGCCCTGGTGTGAATGAGTTGTGTGCCAGCACAGCTGGGTGTTGTGGATTGGAGGGGTTTCTGGTGCTGTTTGTGGAAAGCAGGTGATGTCTGTGCTGCCTTCTCAGCCCTTCACAGGGGGAGTGTGTCCTGCCTGAGCTGACCCTCCGGCATCCACCCCCCAGGGCTGCTCAGAAGAGGAAACAGCATTCCCTGGACAGGTTTTCTGTATCAGCCACCGCTCAAAATGACTGACTGCAGGCAGGGATGTTTGAGAGATGCTGGGACTGCAGGCTCACATAGTGGAGATGCTTTTAAATTGTTCTGTGTCTCACCCCCCAAATGTCTGATTTCTCGCTGTCACATGGGATGATGCTGCAAACCACTGAATCTCACACAGTCACAGAATGGTTTGGGGTGGAAGGGACCTCAAAGCCCAGCTCATTCCACCCCCTGCCATGGGCAGGGACACCTTCCACTAGACCAGGTTGCTCCAAGCCCCATCCAACCTCTCCTGACAGGTTTTGTCCAACAATGGACAAATCAGAAGCAATGGGGTTAACTGCATTTTTGGGGAGGAGGGACAGAGCTCCACCAGAGCAGTCTTTGCCTTGAAGCAGAAGTCTCTTCCTGTCAAGTCTCTGTTGCCCTCCACAAACAGGCAGCAGAGCAGGGGGGAGAGAACATCCCTTCCAGTAAACATGAGATGACAGATCTGGGTGGGCAGAGCAGGATTTCTGTGTGTGTCTCTGAAGACCTTCCCGGTGTTTGCTCAGCTCTTCCTTGCTTTTCTTTCAGGAATTGACTACAAGACCACTACTATCCTGCTGGATGGCAGAAGGGTCAAGCTGGAACTCTGGTGAGTGTTTGTGAGTGGGACACAGGCTGGGGGAGCAGGGGCAGGGGGCTCTGGGAGTGCTGGGGGAGCAGGGGCAGGGGGCTCTGGGAGCGCTGGGGGAGCAGGGGCAGGGGGCTCTGGGAGTGCTGGGGGAGCAGGGGCAGGGGGCTCTGGGAGTGCTGGGGGGCTGCTGGCTCGGAGAGCACGGAGCATCCCTGGGCATGGTGAGGCTCCTGCCTGTTCTCCCCAGTGAGTTCCTCTGGCAAACCAGATACCTTTCTGTCACTGGAGCAGCACAAACACCGTGTGCTCTGTACTGGAATAGTCTGATTTCTGTCTTTCTCCATCACACCTGACCATTTCTGCTGTTACTCTGCACTTTGAGCCCCCATCTACAGTTCTGTGTCTGGGTCTGGGGTTCTCAGCACAAGAAACACATGGATGTGAACAGGTCCAGAGGAGGTCATGGAGATGCTCCAAGGCTGGAGCCCCTCTGCTCTGGACAGGACAAGGGGGAATGGCTTCTCACTGCCAGAGGGCAGGGTTAAATGGGATATTGGGAAGGAATTGTTGTCTGTGAGGGTGGGCAGGCCCTGGCACAGGTTGCCCAGAGAAGCTGTGGCTGCCCCATCCCTGGAAGTGTCCAAGGCCAGGTTGGACGGGGCTTGGAGCAACCTGGGACAGTGGAAGGTGTCCTTGCCCATGGCAGGGGAATGGAATGAGATGGTCTTTAAAGTCCCTCCAACTCAAACCATTCCATGATTCTTTGTTCCTGTACAGCCCCTGATCATTGAGGGAACAGTACTATTTTGGAAGCAATACTGGATTTTCTTGAAATCCAAGGATGAGAAATACAGACAAGAGAATAGGAAAGGAGAAGACAAAAATAGGTGAAGCCCTTGGTCCCTCAGGAGCTGGATATTCTCAGTGACTAGAGCAGAAAATGAAATTAAAACAAGAGCAGTTAATAGACCTCACAGTGTCAGAGTCTGGTGAACCCCTGGAGAACAGGACTGACTGGAGGGACTGGACACTGGGATGGAGATGGGAGAACATTCCATGGGAGGGGTAACTCCTGCCTTATCTGTCAGCACTGCGGGGAGAGCTGGAGTCCTTCTGGCTGAGCTGTAGCTGAGGTTTAACCTGCTGAGGAGCTGACACAGTAGTCCTGGAGAGGAGATGAGGAGGAGGGATGGGATAGGATAGGATTAGGATAGGATAGGATATAGAATAGGATAGGATATAGGATAGGATATAGGATAAGATAGGATATAGGATAGCATTAGGGTGAGATAGGATGGGGTAGGATAGGATAGCTTTAGGATAGGATATAGGATAGGGCATAGGATAGTTTTAGGACAGGACAGGACAGGTAGTCTGCCCATATTCTGGGTTTCACATGGGTCTTGTGGGGAATGACACAGGCCCTAAAACATGGAGGTAAGTAGCCCCTTACCAGCTGTTGAGTAAAGTAACAGGAATATTAGTAACCTGTGTGAATTGTTAATTAGGAATGAACTCAGTGAGTGACTCTGGCAGCGTGGAGTTTGGTGGTTTAATTACACCCTGCTCTCTGAAGCTGCATGTCCTCATTTTTCTTACCAAGAAGAACAGAAGCAGCTCATTTATCTCCTCTAGCCTGAGTGTTTGTATGTGCCACTTGCATTCTTGGCTCTCTCTCTTGTAAGATGCCTATTTGAACATTTCAGCCCCAAGTGTGTAATAACTTACTGCTTCCCTCTTGAAACCATCTTCTTTTTATGCTGCCATTCTTGAGCTGGAGAGCAGCACAGGAGCTGAAAAGCTGATAACAATGGTTTATGATGCCTCAGTGTAATCTTTCACCATTACTTACCCACTGTTTGATTGTCAGGGGAGGAGGAGATGTAAGCACAGGCTGTTGGATTGATGTCCAGGGCCTGTAATATGCTCCCTGAAAGCTTTAAGCTTCAGATCTGAAGGAATGACTGTCCTGAACTTGAGGTCAGTGCCTTTCTCATGGAGCTGATGCAAATCTGGGGCTGAGAGGGCAAATCATCAGTCTTTCAGTGGTCATTAATGTCTTTTATTCTGGCCCAGGGAATAGATTTGGCAAACATGATACTGTGTCTCTCATTACCCTGGTGCATCTCAGTCTGTGCTGGTTAAATTGGTGTGCTGGGCTCTGGCTTTTTGTCCCAGATGTTCCCACAGGCACTGGAGTGCTGGTAATGTTGTCAAACTTAGTTACACCCTGTTAAGACGGTCAGTAAAAGTGACAGTAACTGATGAGCCCCTTATTGTCCCAGGGGGATAGAAACACTGTTCCCTAGTCCTGTTCCTTAGCTCTCCATAGGGTGGGATCGACCAGGTCTGTCAGGAATCTGGATATAAGAGAATTCCCTTTATTTTTGATTTTTAAAACTTGTTTGAAAAAGTAATTGAAGCCAGACAGTGCAAGACAGTTTCTCCTCCCTGGAGTGGTTGCATTCATGTTATGATAGGTCAGATGTTCTCCATACCAGGGGGAGCTCTGCAGAC